GATCTTTTTTTTATTTTATCTAAGAGGAAAAAGAGAAAAACACAAAACAAAACAAAGCGGTGTAAGGGTACACGTAATACAGAACTACAAAAAAAATAACAGTAAGAAATCACCTGTTAATAGATTACATATTATCATCTTGAAAATCGTTGCTTAAATCACAGTATCAAAGCATACAAGGTGGACATTCAAACAGGGAGACTGCAAACAGCTGTGTTCAATGATCCAAAAACATATAACAGGAGATCTTAACACACCATTGACACCATGGGACAGTCAAACAGACAGAAAATCAGCAAAGAAATAACAGAACTTAATCACACTTGTATGTGACTTGATAGACATATACAGAGTGCTTCATCCAACAAAGTCAGAATACACATTCTTTGCAGCAGTACATGGGTCATTCTCTAAAATAGACCATATTTTAGCTCACAGAATATATTTAAACAAATTCAAAAGAGTTGAAATTATCCCATGCATGTATCAGATCATAGTGCTATGAAATTAGAAATTAATGATAAAAGATACTGCAAAAATCCCACAAACACATGGAAACTGAATAACACACTCTTGAGTAATCAGTGGGTCTCGGGGGGAAAATAAAGAAGAAATTAAACAGTACCTCCAAGCAAAAGAAAATACAAATACAGCTTCCCAGAATCTGTGGGAAGCAATGAAAGCTGTCCTCAGATGACAATTTATTGCACTGAGTTCCCACATCAGGAAAGCAGAATGAACACAAATTAATAACCTGATGTTACACCTCAAATCTAGAAAATGAAGAGCAAGTCAAGCCCAAAGCCAAAAGAAGAGAGGAAACTATAAAAATCAGAGCAGAAATCAATGCAATAGAGACTAAGATAATAATCCAAAGAACCAATGAATCAAAGAGTTGGTTCTTTGAAAGAATAAAATTGATAAGCCCCTATCCAACTTTATTTAAAAAAGGGAAGAAAAAGGTCAAATTCATGCAATAAGAAATGAAAAAGACAAAATCATTATGGACTGTATAGAAATACAGAAGGTCATCAACACCTATTTCAAAAACCTCTACTCTCAAATGTTTGATAACACAGAAGAAATAGACAGATTCCTAGAAACATATGAAGTACCAAAGCTAGGTCAAGAAGATGTAAAACTGCTGAATGACCCAGTTTGTATTAATGAACTTGAAAATATAATTATATGCTTACCTACAAAGCAGAGCCCAGGCCCAGACAGATTCACTGCCAAGTTCTACAAGAAATACAAAGAAGACTTAATGCCAACACTCCTCAAACTCTTCAATGAAACTGAAAGGACGCAATCCTTCCTAAGTCATTCTTGGAAGCAAATATTGCTATAGAGCAAAACCCTGAGAAAGACTCGACTAAAAAGAGACATACAGATGAATCTCCCTATTGAACACAGATGCAAAAATCCTCAATAAAATATTGGCAAATAGGATGCAGCAAGTCATCAACATTATATCCCATAACCAAGTAGGATACATCGCAGGCATGCAGGGATGGTTCAACATATGTAAATCAATAAATGTAATCCACCATATCAATAAAGCCAAAAGCAAGAATCACATATCATTTTTATAGATGCAGAAAAACCTTTGCTATGGTCCTACATTCATTTATGATAAGAACTTTACAGAAAATTGAAATAGATTGTCTCTACCTCAATATAATAAAGGCCATCTATGACAAACCAACCACCAATATCATACTAAATGGCCAAAAACTGAAGGCCTTTAAAATCAGGCACAAGACAAGGATGTCTCTTGTCACAACTCCTATTTATATAGTACTGGAAACACTAGCCAGAAGAATTAGACAAGAGAGAGAAATAAAAGGGGTAAAGATAGGAAAAGAAGAAGTTAAATTATCATTGTTTGCAGATGACATGACGCTCTACATAGAAGACCCCCAAAACTCCAGTGAAAGAACCTTAGATATAATAAATGACTCAGTAATGTAGCTGGATACAAAACCAGTACTCAAAATTCATTAACATTCCTATACACAAACAACAAATTCACTGACAGAGAAATAAGAGAAGCTACACCCTTCACACTAGCAACCAAAAAAATGAAGTATTTAGAAATTACTCTCAGGAAAGAAGTGAAAGACCTATACAGGGAAAATTATAATACACTGAAAAAAATTGAAAATTATCTCAGAAAATGGAAAGACATTCCTTTTTCATGGATAGGAGTAATAAATATTGTGAAAATGGCCATTCTCCCAAAACTGTTATACAGATTCATTGCAACCCCAATAAAAATACCATCAACATACCTCGTAGATCTAGAGAAATCACTCCTAAAATTCATCTGGAGAAAGAAGAAATCTAGAATAACAAAGTTCTAGGCAGCAAAGACAAGGCTGGAGGCATCACAATACCTAACTTGAAGTTATGCTATAAAGCAACTGTAGTAAAATCAACATGGTACTGGAATCAAAACAGAGCCAAAGACCAATGGAATAGATTAGAAGCTACAACCACAACAACAAACACACTCAACCACCTTATCTTTGATAAAGAGGCCAAACAGGTTCCGTGGAAGAATGACAGTCTCTTTAATAAATGGTGTTGGAAACACTGGCTCTCCATATGCCAAAAACTAAAACTAGATCCATGCCTATCACGATGTAGTAAATTAAAATCTAAATGGATCAAAGATCTGAATATTAAAGCAGAAACACTAAATCTATTGGAAGACAAATTGGGTAAAAACCTTGAAGACATAGGGGTAGGTAGAGAATTCATAAACAGGACTCAAACTGCATGGGAAATACTTCCCAGAGTCAATAATTGGGATCACCTTTTATTAAAATGTTTCTGCATGTCAAAAGAAATCTCCAGCATAGTGAAAAGAAAACCCACAAGCTGGGAAAATATCTTAGTGAACTGTCTGTCAGACAAAGGACTTCTGTCTAAAATATATAAAGAATTAAAAAAAATCAGAACCCCAAAATTCCAAGATCCAATCTAAAATTGGGCATCTGAGATGAATACACACTTCTCAGTTTAAGAAATACAAATGGCAAATAAGTACATGAAAAACTGTTCATCATCATTATTCATTAGAGAAATGCAAATTCAAACCACACTGAGATTCCATCTCACTCCTGAAAGAATGGCCAGGATTAGGAAAACCAACAACAACAAATGCTGGAGAGACTGTGGGGGAAAAAGGAACTCTCCTCCAGTGTTTTTGAGAGTGTAGACGGTTGCAACCAATGTGGACGTCAGTCTGAAGATTTCTCAAAACCTGGGATTGGAAGTCCCATTTGTTCCACTTCTAGGCCTATTCCCAGAAGAACTGAAAACTTCATACCATAGTGATGTATGTGCATCCATGTTTATAGCAGCACAATTTGTAATAGCAAGATCTTGAAAAGAACCCAAGTGTCCATCAACTGAGGAATGGATAAAAAAATTGTGGTATTTTTATACAATGGAGGACTACTCAGCTATAAGGAAGGATCACATTGAGATATTTATGAATAAGTAGGTGCAGCTTCAGACCATACTCATAAGTGAAATAAATCAAACTCACATGTATGAATATGGAATAGTTTCCCTAGTGTAAGAAAGAAATGATACAAATACATAAAAGTATGTGGTAATCATGATTCCACATTATATGGCTTTGAAGTCTTATAAAGTTTTCACTCATTAATTTGAATGGTTTTATTTTGGGCTGTTTGATATTATTGTCTGTGATGATATGAACAGCTATTTTGAAGAAAACAAGACATCATAATAACTAGTGCTGATTTACTATCATCTTATTTTTAAGTCCCATCAAACTGTTGTTCTTCTGTCTCCATTGCTTTTATCATGTTGTATCTTATTGGATTTTATTATATGTGATAGTATAAACAAAAATTTTTTATAGGCAAAGAGATAATATAGAAATCATTGTTCATTTTCTGTTAGCTGGTTCTAAATACCCTGTAATACTTTCATGCTCTTGAATGGTTTCACACTGTCTTGATACGTTTGATGCTATAGTATATGAAGTTATACTCAAATATTTCAAGGAAAGAGACACTATGGTAACTACTATTAAGTCGGGTTATCTTGTGGTGAAACACTCTCTTGCTTAAATTGTTCTGTTCTGACCTGTATTGCTATGTCTTCTTTTATCTCAATCTCCTCCCTTTTTTAAAATTTATTTTTTCATTATTGTTTTTTCAATAAGGGAAAAATTTAAAAAAAATTAGCAGGGTATTTTATAATAACTTTTTTGATTTCCTATTAACTTGATTTGAAGCCCTGTATTGCTCTCACCATCTTGTTCTGACTGATTTTACTCTATTCTGTTTTGTTTGATACTATGAAGTTTGAGGGTATAGGCAACTACTTTGAAGGCAATAAGATTCACCATGGTGCCCATTCTGGTTTGACTGTTATCTTCTTTTGAAGTTCAGTAATGTCTCCAATGTTTAGATTTTATTGGTTTTGTTCTGTACTGTTTTGTTCAATTTTATTCTACCTGGTGGTATAGGCAAATTCTTTTTAAGGTAGCAAGAGGCATTATGGTAACCACTGTTGATTACCTTGTATTCTGTTTTTACATCATGTACTATGTCCATCTTTTGTTTTGACCGACTGCTTTATTTTGTCATCTTTGGTTTTATTCTCTTCCAAAAAACAGTAATAAGAACTGTGGGAGTAATAAAATCCAAAATGTGTAAATGTTATTGTAACAAAGAGAGGAAAAGGAAGTGCTCTAAAGGACACAATTCCAAGTGTGTTTAGGTGTGTTAAGATAGATGACCATACTACTAACGTTTTGTTGGATCATTGAACACAACTCTTTGCAGTCTCACTGTTTGAATGTCCACTTTGTATGCTTAATTTTGTAACTTGATCAACTATTTGTAAGATGACAATTTGTGATCTATTAATTAGTGATTTCTGTTTTTTTTGAAATTCTGTATTACTTTTATCTTTTACTGTTTTGTGTTTTTTTTTCTTTAAATAAAAAAAAGAGTACCTCAGAAGTTGACTTTCAGTTTTGTTTTCAGTGCATGTTAATATTAACCGGAAAATGCCTCTGCTCATTTCGCTTTGTTGTGACTACATCCACGCAGCAAAGAGTGCCTGGGTCGGCTGTGTCAGCTGGGTCAGCGTGGTCGTGTCTAAAAAGAGTGGATTTAACCCCAGGAGGATTCTGTGGTAAGTTGGGGATTCCTCCGTATCTTTAGCCTCAGGATCTCTTTTTCAGAAAGGGTTTTTGTCTCCATGTTATTACAGATGAGCTGGGAAACATTGGTGAATGTCTCCCAGTTCTTGAACACACTTGAACAGAACAGTATGCGTTGACAGCCAGGACTGTGCCTGATTGAATCCCTCCCACTGGATCCTATGCTCAGCTGGGTCATGAAGCTCCTCATGGGTCAGCTTTGGGCTAGACTGCTGGAGAGAGAGAGAGCAGGACATGCAATGCGGGGGCAGGGGGAGGGTCAATGGGGTTGGCTACATTTATGCAAAATTTTAAGGTGGTGGAGAACAGGCGATTTGAAGATGAACTCAGGGAGCTGCTACTGAGGCCTGAAGGGACAAAGCATTTCTCTTGAGGTACAAGGAATAAAGAGGGTGTCTTGCCCACTCACCCTGTGTCTGAGCACCTATCAGTTCTGGGCTTTGTGGAGAAATTGAAGTCTTGGGAGCAGTTGGGTTGCCCAGGGTCCTGGGAAGGAGGCTGGAAATGTCGGCCAGCTTGTACCCACTGGCCAGCTCCCAGCCCTCTGTAAGCATATGGGGCGGGAAGGAAAAGGCAGAGTCTGGGCTTCCTGTGGGAATGGAAAAAGTACCGGGACTTGGGACTCAGTGGGGAGGTTGCTGAATGGTGTCCCCAGCACCACCTCACTTTGTAATCCTCACATGAAAGGCCACACTGCGCTTGTGGCAGGGCAGACCTCTGTGTCTCTGCAAGGAGACAAAGCAAAAAAAATAGGGAAGTGTGAAAATTTGTGCTTTAGTTCCTGAGGCAAGTGTCAGCTAACTCTGTCCACCAAGAGCTGCGGGACAGTGAGAACTCACTGTCCCTCCTGAGCCTCAGCCTTTTTCCTCTGAGACTGGAGTTAGAATTCTTTGTTTTACTGCGCCTTTAGGTGACTGCTTTCTACTCCTTGGGTGGGTCTTCCGCAGGCAGTGGGAGACTGGGCAGCAGCAACTGTGAGCCAAGAGGTCACAGGGGCTGCAGGAAATCGGCAAAAACAGACCCACACTGGCTTCTCATCGAGGCGATGCTCAGTGGGGAGAGTGTGGCCCTTCCTGCTGCATCCCAGCATTGCTATTTGCTATTAAACTAGAAAAAATTATACATTGGCAACACACACACTGTCATGGACTTTCACACTAGGTGGCCAGACTGCTCTGTGGAGCTTGCTATGTTCTCCTGAAATACACAGTTCCAAGGGTGTTTATGTCAAGCCGCTTCTCTCTTCTCCCCATTCTGGGTAAGCGTGGTACAGGAATCCACAGTATTCATGGACTTCCCTCTCTGCCCCTGCGTAGTTTGAAGTCTCCTCCTTTGTTGTGAAAGCCCATCTGAACACCACCTTCAGGACCTTGCATACGTTTCACCCTGCACACTGTTGCCCGTGGCTCCGGGCAGGGGAACCATGGAGGAGTGGACAGGCTACACTGGAGGACATTTCTGTGTTGGATGGGAGCTGTGGTTATCTTCTCAAGCTCTGCAGTCTTTCACACCCACATTGATTGCAAAGGGAAAAAGAGCAACAGCAGGCATCGTGTTGTTTTATACCCAGTGAGTTTAAACATGCCTCTCCTCCTCTGAACTGTGTTTGCTTATCGTGGGGCTCAATGGAGCAACAAGGCAGTGCGAAAGTGACTTCCACCCAGTACACCAGATTCCCTGGCTCCCTTAGTGAGCAGGAGCAGATGGATCAAGGCAGTTGAGCTTGACATCTGGCCTCGGGTGTCACCACAGAAGGGAACTCTGAAACCCTGGGACTGAATCCTGCTGCTCTTCAGATAGTAACTGGGCCCCTGATTTTAAAAGCATGTCTGTTTCTCATCTTTGTAAAACATTAATGCTGAAGGAAGATGATATGAAGAAGTGAATGAGAACTTTGAAATATATGGTACATTTGTCCAAAGGCCCGCACATCAGCAAGATAACCTGTGTGGAATATGAGCCAGATTCCTGGTTATTCTCTGCCAAAAGGAGACAGTTTCCCAAGACAGGAAAAACAAGCAGAATTTTTCAGGCATGAGGGAAGCTGAAGCTGGGCCATGTGCCCAGACGCTGGTGCCCTGTGTTTGTAAAATGCCTCTCGCACCCTGTGTTGGGTCAGGCTGGGAGAGGAGGGCAGAGGCCACACTGGTTATCTGTAGGTGCCCAGTGGAGCTGCAGCAGAGAGCACAACAGGAGCCTGCTGGGTGCTCTGAGTCCCCTGGGAGACAACCACCCACTGAAGCATGCTGTGGACGAGAGCCTGGAGTGTCCTCCACATTCCAGGAGGCTTAGAAGGGCTTGGGGCAGCCAGCAGGGAGGAGGAGGCCTGTGAGCAGGGCCCATCCCAAAGAGGAAGACATGGAAAGTACCCAGGGGAAGCTGTGACCCCAGGGACAGAGAAACTGCGGAAACCTCTGCTCTGCTTTCTGTGGGGAACTGAGGCCTCAGTTGCTAGGGAATGCAGGGCTCTGTGCCCAGGCCATGTGAGTGGCTAACAACAGGGCCAGGGTGACACAGTGTAGGAATGCTCCCAGCACTCTCCCCTTTCCTTCTACCAGTGGCCTTTCCAGATTTGGGCGGATAGCAGGGCATCTGAGATGAGCCCCACTAGGACAGGAGGGGGCACTTTCCACATCGCCACAGGAATGAGGCCCTTGTTTACAAGGGTCAGAAACTGGCCTAGAGTGACCAGAGAGGACGAGACTCAGGGTACACACTCATTCACAAACATGTGGCATCATCTAAAACTCCATCCTTTCTGCCTGCCCACCCCTTGCTCTCTTGGATGCTTAATTCCCAGTCCCAAATGCTGTCCTGTCTCTGGCGACCTGGAGCATGGAACATCCCAGAAAAGGATGCGGCTGACAGTTCTCCAGTGGCAATGACCTTTTTGTAATAATTCCTAAGTTTCCCTTTGTAGATTTGTCCTTGTGCCATGTTGGCTGGGGTGTGGGCAGTGAGAATTTGAGAAGGACCACTGCCATTTTTCTTTTTTAAATAGCAGCCATAGAGCTCAGGAAACAGAGGACGCTCTGGCTGATGTCCTTGAGGTCTATGCTGCCATTCCTGGGTGGGGACGGATGCACATGGCTGTCCACTGTTTCTCCAGCAGGCTCCAGTTCCTTTCCATCACTTGTTTCTTCCTCTCCTCCAGCCTGGACACCGTGTGAGCTGTAAGGGAAACTCAGAGACGCAGCAGCTGACGCCATGGCCGGCCTATCCTCCACAGGTACTTACACCTCTTCTTGAATCGTGGATTTGTGCTTATGAGGAAGACATGATGTGGAATCTCCCTGGTTGAGTTATGGTGTTCAGCACTCAGGGACAGAAAAGGGAGCCCCAAGAAAGGCTGATGGAGTCCCTGTCCTGGGCCTGTGACGATGGGTCTCAGGGTCCTCTCCTCTGGGTGCAGGTGCTCACTTCCTCCCCACCCTGACTCCTAGCCAAGGCCTCAGGTGGGGCCAGGACAGCCTCGGGACAGTGTGGACAGGAGGGGTGAAGAGAAGGGGAGAAGAGAAAGGGAGAGTAGCAGGGACAGCTTGGAAAAGAAACTTTTCCAAAGAAATAACATGTTTGAGGGCATGACAATGCAGTTACCATGAAATATCACAATTATCCAGTAAATATACTCAATTTTTATGTGTCAAGTAAAAATAAAAAGTTTTAAACCAGGCATGGTAGCACACGCCTGTAATCCCAGCACTTAGGAGGGTGAGTCAGGAGAATCCTTGTGAGTTTGAGGCCAGCCTGGGCTACATAGTGAATTAAGGATGGGCTCCTGGACTATACAATAGTGAGATCCTGTCTAAAAAAATTATTTTCCCAGGGATCATTATGGTCACCTAGGATGTGACAGCAAGGGTGAGCCTCTCTAAACTTGTAGAAAATGAAAGATACCTTGACCAGGGATAGGAGAAACCCTTGTAATAGGAGTTAAATGAGAAGAGGAATTTATTGTAACAAAAGCGAGTGTCTGAGACCTTGGAAAAGGGATCCTGACCATTCTGAGACCATGGGACCCTCGCCACCCTATGTCCAGTATGCAGGCTTTCTTGGAAGAGGACCGAGCTACCCAAGTGCCGGAGCTGGCTCTTCAGTGCTGGTCCAGATGGTGGAGTAGGCTCACGGGCACTCTGCCCTCCCCACCAGGAAGATGACTGAACGTGAGATGTGTGTATGCCAGGGCTTCAGAGAAACTGAGAGAGTGGTGTAGTCACAATGCCACCCTGCACTAGGGTTTTGAAGACTAGCACTCTGTAAGTGGCACCCACAAGTGGCAGGACTGTGGTGACAATGAAGGTTGAATAATGCAGAAAGAACTAGTCACCCACTCCACCCAGGAGAAACCACAGGAATTGCTGTGCTTGTGGGACAATCAGGGTGCTGCCCACACGTGTCAATAGGACCCCACGGGGGGGGGGCTCTCAGGAAGCCTTGCTCAGGACTGCAGAGGGCAAGAGGACGCAGGACTGTGCCAAGCATGGGTCAGAAAGCGAAGCTCTGGAGACGGTGAACAAAACAGATCATGAGAGCGGGACAGAGAATGTGCCCTCTGTCAGAGGCCTTGAAGTAAGCAAAGGATTGTGGAGACCTGGAAGCAGCGAGCCAGTGAGGGAGCCAGTGTGGGAGTTAACTGCACTTAGGGCTCAGAGAAGCCATGAGAGAAGGGGAGCGCCAGTAGCATTAACATGCGCAATGCTTAACCCAGCTGGCTTCTATTTCTTTGATGTATTACATTCATTGATTTGTGTATGTTGAACCATCCTTGCATTTCTGGTCATGATGTATGATCTTTTTGATAATTTCTTGCATCCTGTTTGCCATCATTCTGTTGAGAATTTTTGTGTCTGTCTTCATTAAAGAGGTTAGTTTTCATTTTTGGCTTGATTTGTGTCTGGTTTTTGAATCCAGGTGCTGGTAACATCCAGGAATGACTTTGTAGCTGCTTTTCTACTTCTGTTTTATTAATGATTTTGAAGAATATTGATTTAGATCTTCCTTAAATTTCTTGCACAATTCAGTGATGAATCTAGTGGACTTTTCTTAGTTGATAGGCTTTTAATTGCTGCTTCCAATTCATTGCCTGTTAAAGGATTATTAAGGGTTTTAAATCATGGTTCAATTTTGATAATTCATATGTATGTCTAGAAATCTATTCACATCTTCTAAAGTCTCCAGTTTTTTGGGTCACAGGTTTTTTTAAGTATTGGTAATAATCTTTTGTATTTCCTTGGTGTTCATTATGATTTTATCTTTTATTTACTTGTAACTCCATTGACTTGTGTCTTTCCTTTTTTTTGGTGAGATTGGTTAAGAGTTTGCATATTTTTATGTTCTTTCAAAGAACCATCTCTTCTACTCATTGATTCTTTGTATTGAGACTTCATTGAGTCTCAATTTCATTAATTTCAGCTCTGATCTTTGTAATTTTCTTACTTGTACGAGCTTTGAGTTTGTACTGTTCTTGTTTTTCTAGGACTTTTTGGTGCATCATTATATTCTTTCTTGGGGCTCACTGTGTTTTTTTGGTGTGGGCATTCACAAAAGTAGACATTTTCTTAGGACTTTTTTATTGTGTATCATAAATTCTTGTATATTGTACTGTTGTTATGATTTGATTCTTCCTTTATTTCATCTATGAGCCATTGGTTATTCAAGAGTGTATTGTTTAATTTTTATGCATTTCTATATTTCTGTAGTTTCTTTTTTATTGAAAGGAAAAAACAAAACAGAAAAAGGATAGAAATAATACATAATTTCAAAAAAAATAAAAAGTAAGAAATCAGTAGTTGATAATTACATATTGTCTATTACACATAGTTGTTCAAGTTACAAAAGTGAAGCATACAGAGTGGATATTCAGACAGTAAGATTGCAAACAGCTCTGTTCAACGATCCAACAAACAGTAATATGATTATCAGTCCTATACACTTAAACATAATGCAGTTATGCCCATTAGAGCACTTTCTATTTCTCTCTTTTTTACAATAGCAATTACACATTTTGGGTTTTATTACTCCTACATGTCTTATTACTTTTTACACTAGAGACACAATGTGATATTTAGAAATATGATTCTAGTTTATTTCACTAATGAGGATAACCTTCAATTGTCTCTATTTGCCTATGAAGGCCTCAAGATCATCCTTTTTATAGTTAAACAAAATTCCATTGTATAAAAATATCACATCTTTTTTATCCACTCTGTGGTTAATGGGCATCTTGGTTATTTCTAAGATTTAGCTATTACAAATTGTGCTGCTATGAACATGGGTGCACATATATCACAGTGATATGACCTTTTCAATTTGTCTGGGAAAATACGCAGGAGGGGAATAGCTGGGTTGAATAGAACTTCCAATCCTAGTCTTCTGAGAATTCTCCAAACTGATTTCCATAATGGTTGACCAGTCTACACCCACCAGTAATGGGGCAGTGTTCCTTTTTCCTCACACCCTTGCCAACATTTGTTATCAGTTGATTTCTTGATGCAGCCATTTCTTTCCACAATGAGATGAAATCTCAATGCTGTTTTAATTTGCATGCCATGAATGACCAGTGATGTTGAACTTTTCTTCATGTATTTATTTGCCATTTATGTAGCTTCATCTGAGAACTATGTGTTCATCTCAGATGCCCATTTTTGGAGAGGGTCTTTGAATTGGCGGGGGGGGGGGGCTTGATGTTTTTCAATTCTCTATATGTTCTGGATATAAGTTTTTTGTCTGAGGGATTGCTGGCTATAATTCTTTCCCATTCTGTGGGTTGTCTTTTCACTCTGTGGGTGATTTCTTTTGAAGTGCAAAAACTTTTCAATAATATGAGATCCCAGTTGTTGATTTTTGAAGTGTTTCCCATGCAGTTTACAGTTTGTTCATAAATTCTCTGCCTACCACTATGTCTCCAAGACTTCTACCTACGTTGTCTTCCAGTAGATTTGATGTTTCTGTTTTAACATTTAGGTCTTTGATCCATTTAGACTTTAGTTATGTGCATGGTGATATGCATGAGTCTAGTTTCAGTCTTTGGCATGTGGAAACTAATTTTTCCAACACCATTTATCAAAGAGGCTGTCCTGCTTCCACTGCACATGTTTGGCACCTTTGTCAAATATCGGCTGGCTGAGTGTCTTCGTAGTTGTTTTTGCATCTTCTAATCTGTTCCTTTGACCCTCAGGTCTATTTCTTTGCCAGTACCATCCTGATTTTATCATTGTGGCTTTGTGGTATAGTTTCAAGCCAGGAATTAAGATGCCTCCGGCCTTGTATTTATTGCCCAGAATTGCCTTGGCTATTCTAGGTTTCTTCTGTTTCCAAACGAATTTAAGGAGTGTTTTCTCTAGATCTGTAGTTATGTTAATGGCATTTTGATTGGCATTGCATTAAATTTGTATAATAGTTTTGAGAGTATGGCCATTTTCACAATATTGATTCTTCCTAGCCAAGAGCAAGGAATATTCTTCCATTTTCTAATATCCTCTTCAATCACTGTTTTTAGCAGAGCACAATTTTCAGTATACAAGTCTTTTACATTCTTAGTTAGGTTGATTCCTAAGTATTTCAGTTTTTTAGATGCTATTGTGAAGGGTGATATTTCCATAATTTCTCTTTTGGTCAGCTTTTTGTTTGTGTACAGGAATGCTCTTGATTTTTGAGCAGTGACTTTGTATCCAGCTACACTCCTGAATTTCTTTATCACTTCTAGTAGTCTTTTTACGGAGTTTTCTGAATCTTCTATACAAATATGTCATCTGTAAAGAGTGATAATTTAACTTCTTTCTTTCCTATCTTTTTCCTTTTATTTCCCTCATTTATCTAATTGCTCTGGCTAGTATTTACAGAACTATGTTGAATAGGAGGGGTGATAGTGGATATCCTTGTCTTGTTCCTGATTTTTAAGTGAAAGCTCTCAGTTTTGGTCCATTTAGTATAATGTTGGATGTTGGTTTCTTATAGATGGCTTTTATATGATTGAGGTAGACACCGTGTATTCCGAGTTTCTTAAGGGTTTTTGTCATGTGTTGGACATTACTGAAAGCTTTTTCTGCATCTATTGAGATGACCATGTGGTTTTTGTTTTTGCTCTGTTTATGTGGTATATTACATTTATTGATTTGCATATGTTAAACCATTCCTGCATTCCTGGGATGAATCCCACTTGGTGTGATGTATAATCTTCTTGATGATTTGCTGCATTCTATTTGCCAGTATTTTATTGAGAATCTTTGC